CAGTTCAACTCTACACCACAATCAAGTAACTATGTCACATTCAGTTGTTCAGAAAAAGCTGCATATATAAAAAATAAATTAGATTTTGTTTCATAGCTTATCTAAACACCTTGAAACAATGACAACAATGCTTCAGGGAAGGGGTTCTTTGTGGGGCAGGAGCTCGGCTGCAGACTGAGCTGCAGGGAGGTGCTTTGTGTAAACAGGCGGTGCTTTGTACCAGAGCCCTCTGATTTTTATCACCTTGTTATTGTGTCATTACATTAATAGAAAAATGTTACATCAGCCCACTTGGAAGTTTTAAAGGCTTTTATTTTTTATATGATGATCTGACAAGAAACATAATGAAAAAGTGCAGCTTTTGTTGTTTCTGTCGTTGCCCAAGCTCAAAGTTTTGCACTCAAAAGGATTTGAACAATGTTTGATATTAAAAATCACAATTTTAAGGTGATCTGTCAAAAATCTGTGTCATGTGGATCATGGTTCACAGGACACGTTATTATTGCTTTAATGCTTAATGTTGACAATTTCATACAAATTTTTTAACACGATTTAACACAAATACAAACAAACGCAGCGGTTATAGTGGTAAAACCTAGCCCAATAGACCACTTGTCCCAACTGTCCCTGATCTTGATCTCTGTTGGCCTTAGATTACCATCACTGTCTGTGCGCCTCAACCAACGAGAGCCTTTGTTTTGTAGGTACGATGCAGCATGAACGTCACATGAACTCTGTCAGAAGATGAGCAGCAGGAACAGAAACACGGAGAAAGGCACCAGACGTTTGACGTGTGCATTTATCGTTTAAAAACGCTTCCAGACGGCAGGTTGGAAGCACTGCAACACTTAAATGTCTTACCAAACCTAAGCCTGAAATATCACCTACATTCAGAACAAACAGGTACAATGAACACTCACCGTAACAAACAGTGGGAGGGTTCTACAGATGTGGGAGAAATTAAATAAATAAAAACCAGATGGGCTTGCCTTATCTGTCGAAGGTTTTTGACAATGCATTGAAACTTTATGTAAAACAAAACCTAAAATGCTCCAAACATCTTTGAATCATAATTTAATCCTGTGAGATTAATCCCCATTAATCTAAGGAATATTTTGAGATTATTACATTTTTTTTATTCCATGCCCAGTACTAGTTTTAATCAAACCATAAGCTTGTGATATAGCAAGAGTGTGTTGGGGATGACTCAGTTACTACCCAGGGGCGGTTCTAGGGGCGGGGCCACAGGGGCATTGGCCCCAACTAAAATCTGATTGGCCCCCTGAAGTGCCCCTGTCCTGTCACTCATCTGTCCTGTACCTGGGAGTGAGGATGGTGGCTGCAGTTCCATGTTCAAACACTATTTGTACTAATGAGTCAAATGATAAATTCCAGAATGAATCAAGCTCACAGAATTCTTCTTCTCTTCTTAAAATTTGAACAATCCTGCAAAAAAAGTCTTTCATCTGACAAGTGACGGCTGGATTTTCTCACATGTTGTGTGTTAGAAAATATTTTATCTATGTTCAGTAAAGTGTATGAAAAACTGGTGAGGAGAATTTACTGTGCAAGATTTTTGGTACCACTTTACAATCAAGCTCCCTTTATGAATGGCTTATAAAGAGTTTATAGATAGGTTATTAATTAATTTGTAAAGTTTACACTTCATAAATCATTAATAAATGTAACTGGACGATTTTGTCTCTTTCTCGTCCTTAATTTTTGCATAATAAACACTTATTAATAATTTTTAAAGTGTTTACAGATTAATTATCTATCTATAAACCCTTTAAAAGCCATCTATAAGGGGGGCCTTATTGTAAAGTGGTACTTTAAAAAAAAGACAATAGATTACAAGTGTTTTGAAGTGTAAAATGTATACAATGGGAATTTTTGTGAAATTATGTTGAACAGAGACTTGGCACCTCTATGAATATTGTGGCCCCTCGAAGGCCCCTTACTCAGAAAAATCCTAGATCCGCCACTGTTACTACCACATCAAATTTAGCCCTGTACGTATCTGTAAAATCCAATGAGTCTTAACTATTTTTACATTGACTAAGGCTGAGAAGCTGTGTGGGCCATTTTAATATGTGTACCTCCAAACATTATTAATTTACAGATGTGCACCTCTGTCCAGTGAGTTATGAGATATTTTACTAACAGAGGGTTGATGGCAATATCTAAAGCCAAAATTTTAGGCAAAAAATATTGTGCGATGCAGAGTGCTTGGCTTATGTTATGAGGGATGGGTCTCAACTATCGTCCTATTTTAGCTCAGCATCTCTAAAACTTGCTGAGTTGGAGACTTTTTTGTGTTTAATTGTTTTATGGATTTTTTTAGAAGTTTCCTCAACTTCGAGGGACTGATGGAAAGTTTCAAATCACTGTTTGTTCATCATTTGGGCGTTGGGTGACACAGTCCGCTTTAAACAGCTATCATGTTGCAAATGACCCGAGATGAGCTTGATTACTCCACTGAGTAAGTCAGTGATAACTTCTGTGAGAAAGGACCTTTTGAAGAAGTGAGATGTCAAAAATAAGCTCAAGTGACTTCTCTCTAAACTCCTGTGGTTTTTGTAGGAGTGAACAAAAGTTCTGAAACTTGGAGAAAGAAACAGCTCATCAGAATGGAAATATTACAAAATCATTTCTGAAGAGTTTAGGCAGCAGCTCATGACCAAATTTGTGACAAAATGAGGAAATAGTGAGAAGGTGAGGAAGTAAAAACATTGTTGCGTTATCCAGGCATGGTTGTCTCGAACTTCCATCCATTTATCATCTTTTACCTGCTTCTTCCTTTCAGGGTCACTGTTGTCCACATCCAGCAGGCACTGTGTGTGGGGTGGGGCACACCCTGGACAAGTCACAAGTTCAAATAAAAAAAATGTCAAAAACGTCACCAGCAATCTTTAGTCTGCTCAAAGGAACACTTTGACATTAGAAAAACATTTTGTAAACAGATGTGACATAAACAGATCATTTTCTAAAGCAGAAAAAACACTTTCTTCAGGCATAAGAGCCTGATTTAATCTGTAAAACACGGTGGTGGCAGCAGCATGGTCAGGGCCCATTTTACAGGTCTGGTTTTTCACAACTCGTAGAACAATTTTAAATGGAAAGAGAAAATAAAAGGAGGTCTGTCTGAGAAGTTTTTGAGGAAACCCTCCAACTTTCCGAACTTGAGTTGTGCAAAAATTTGGCTGTGAACACGAGCCGAAATAAGTGCTGATCAGTCCTAAACATGAGCTGAAATATCTGCTGATGAACAGATATTTCTGTGAGGATTTCAGTGTTTTTGCACTAACCTTCCCCTACAGAGCCTGGGAGTGGGAGGTGCTAATTGGCCTCAGCTGTCATCACCGACTGATTAAATTTGATGCTGGACAGTTGATTGATGACTCAGCTGAAAGCCTTTACTGGGAGGATTTCATGGAAAAACTTTGAGATTCTGACTTACCTTGTGTCCTTGCAGCTTTCATGTAACTTCTGTCCTCCAAGCTTCAACCCGATCCCTCCTGAGTTTCACCTTCGAGTCTTCTTCATCAGCCTGCAAAACCACAGATAAGCTTTTCGATGACTCAGCCTTATTTCCTTTTGCCCAACCTGCCACATCCCTGAAACCATCACTACTACTCTGGACCTGCAGTCCTCTCTGACCCACTCTAATGGTTAATTAAATTGAAGAAATCTTTGGGGTTTATGTTTTATACTGATTTTAATCACACTACACATAGTGTAGTTTATTTTATGATGGAACTGTAATGACTGCTAAATGTGACTTTTGATTAACTTGATGATTCTATATTAATAGTTACATGCCTGGTAACAAATACAATTTTGAACTACTATGTGTAGTGTAATTAAAGTATATAACAGTATTTTTTATTTGTTCATCAGGAGATTATACAGTTTACATTACTTACATTTCTCAAAACTTACATAACTTCTCCAATCAAGTATATGACAGTATATAACATAAACCCCATTAATTTCTTCAAACTGCTTAGTCACCAAAAATCTATGGGGCACAATATTTCCACCTCTGTATTTTAATTGCAGCAGCATCGTTCATTAACTTTATTTTCACTGTTACTGAATTGAGAGGTTGCCTGATACTCTCACATTTTATACTCACTGGGTTTGAATTAAACATAACAGTTGATATCATTATATCATTTTGTGGTTTTTTTATTGTATTCTTATATTTTGAACTGTCTTTATAATGATCTATGGTCTAATCTAAATTTAATTTAATCTTTGTCGCTTTTGAGGTTTCGAGCATGACAGTTTAAGAGTGACGAATTGAAGAGTTCATTAGTTGTGATTTAAAGTGCTAAACACTGTAACAACAGTGTTGTGACAAATTGAATGAATGAATGAATGAATGAATGAATGAATGAATCTGGCAGATTGTGGTAAATAAACAAGACTGGAAAAAGTAGGGGTGCGCAGGGTGCTGCAACGCCTCCTGAAGGCAGGATGACATGTTGGCCCCGGGGGCTGTGTGTGTGGTCGCTGGGGGGACTCTCCCAGTTCTCCCCTATGGTCTGATCTGGGGGGTGGGTTGGTGGATCTTCCTGTGCAGGTGCCCCTTGGGGCTCTGCGCTCGGGATCCCTCTCAGGCCCTTGGGCTCTGGTCTTCCCTATGTCTGCCTCGTGTCTTGGGGGTTGGGTCTCGGTCCTCCACAGTCACTGTTAAATATTCCATTGGAGAAATCTTGTATACACACGCATGTTCACAACTGCTCACAGACAGGTGTTCTGATCTGGGGGGTTCTGACAGGTCACTGAGTGTGTCTGTATGTCTATGTGTATATACTGACAATATTTATGAATGTAGGCATGTATGTATGTATATGTATGGGTATGTGTGTATATTTATATATGCCCTCCATGTATTTATCCATTTATTTTTCAGGTGAGCGGACAGATGTTGGGTGTGTGGTCCTGTGTTTTGTTGGTGTATATTTAATATACAGTACTTCTAATCGCTATTTCAATCTTTCTATCTTTCTAATTACCTCTCTCTGTTTTTCTCTCTGTCTCTATGTTCTCTTCACTTAAAAAAGGATGACATGCATGTCCTCATTCATAGTTAAAGCATTAACGAACAGAAACAGATTTAATCGCCGTACATAAATCCCAGTTTTGATACTGAGTTTGCAGTTTTATGTGTCCAAAATAAATAGTGTTTTTTATTGTTTACATATGATACAAGATTGATCCTGTTGTCGCATAAAAAAATGCTTTTTAATTTAATATTTACTATTTTAAAATGCAGCCTTTTTGCGCACTGCAAACTATGTATAAATAACTGAACTTTACTGTGCAGGAGTTTGAGACAAGAAAGCAAATGTTGAAGAAGAATCAAAAGGAACACCGTACAAAAAAAGACAAAATAAAGTTTGTAATTGTTTTAAGAGTGAGATCAGGGAACAGGTGAGCAAATGTTAAAGCTCAGTTTAATCATCTTTAATGGGGTCGATCTGGTTTAAACCAGCTTCCTGCTCTGACCGGTGTCAGGCACAGAAATGACGACAATCCCGGTGAATCCCGCGGGGCTTCAGCCTGGAACAGGCCGAGTGATAAAAGGAGGAACTGAAACTCAAAGCTGCGTGCGCGCCTTGTGGCACGGCAGAGCGCAGAGGAGGAGCTGAACACTGTCAGCTTGTTGAGGATGTGAGGACTGCCAGTGTCAAAGCATCTTCTGCTGTTAAACGTGTTCCCTCTGCGGGTTTCTGTTTTGTTTTTTTGCTCTGTGAAGGATATGTAGGTTTGACTCTGTGCGTAAAAAAAAAACGGGTCCGTTTGGACACGATGGGGTTTTTTCCCTGGAGGAGCTGAAACAAACTGCCTCGTGGGAAGAGTTGACTCGGAGCTGGCTGGATCGTTTGCTTTGAACGGCAGGTATGAACAGCACAGCAGCGGCGGGGTTTCGTCCGCCCACCGTCCCGGTGATCATGTTCATCCTCGGGGTGGTGGGGAACGTCGTCGCCATCGTGGTTCTGCGGCTGTCGCGCAAGGAGCGGAAAGAAACCACCTTCTACACGCTCGTGTGCGGCCTGGCGGTGACGGACCTCCTGGGGACCCTGCTGGTCAGCCCCGTCACCGTCGCCACCTACGTGAAAGGCTCGTGGCCCGGAGGGGACGCCCTGTGCCAGTACTCGGGCTTCATCCTGCTCTTCTTCTTCGTGGTGCAGCTCAGCATCGTCTTCACCATGTCCGTGGACAGGTACCTGGCCATCAATCACGCCTTCTTCTACAACAAGAACATCAACCAGAGGCTGGCTGCGCTCACGCTCCTGGCCATTTACGCGTCCAACATGGTGTTCTGCGCGCTGCCCGTCGCGGGGCTCGGACGCGTCACGCGCCAGGAGTCCGGGACGTGGTGCTTCATCGACTGGCAGAACAACCACACCACGGTGAAAACCTTCAACCTGACTTACGCCGGGGTGAACTCGGCGATCGTGCTGGCCACGATCATCTGCAACGTGATGGTGTTCGGAGCTCTGGTTCTGATGCACCGGCGCTTCATCCGCCGCACCTCCCTGGGCACCGACCCGCGGCGCGTCGCCGAGCTGCGGCGCAGGCGGAGCTTCAGGCGGCTGGCCGGAGCTGAGATCCAGATGGTCATCGTGCTGATCGCCACCTCGGCCGTGGTTCTTGTCTGCTCCATACCCTTACTGGTGAGTAGGAGTGTTATCAGCATTTTCGCTTTTACGCACGGAATTGAGTGGGATTTCTTTGGAAGACGCAAACGAATGGCACATTTAAACTACATAAAAAACACAAAAGGATGTGCATAATAAAAGAAATATCGATTTGCTTGATGATTCAAACTATTTTCTCTCAGAACTTTTTGTTCTTTACTTTCTTTAATTTTTTTGTGGTCAGGTGACGCATTTTTTGATGCGCACGTGTGGTTTCTCACATTTCCTCTGTGCGTCTTCAGCTTTAATAGAACATGTAAGTGTTGAGAGCTAAAGTTTCTGTTCATTAAAAGCAACATGTAGCGTTGAGCCTGAGCTAAAGCACGCTTGAGCACATAAAGGGATATTTCAGCCATTCTGGATGGGGTTCTGAATGTAAATACAGCAGCTGTGTTTTGTTCATTGAACTCACTGGTTAAACATCATCAAGTATCAGGTTCTAAAGACTTAATAAAACAGAAAATCCTGGAATCAAACGGTGCAGTCTGAAATAATTTACTTCCGCAGTTTCTTAGAGAAACATTTCTGAAATGCAGGTGTGCATTCATTAAAGCATTTTGTCTGTCTGCTGACACCCACATGAATGGATGAATCACATGTTTAACCTGTTAAGCTGGCAGTAAACAAATGTGTTGAAATTGGACAAATGTAAGATCTCGGAGGAAACGTTCAGGTGAAAATAGAAGTGTGAATTTGCAGCTAAGCACAATAATAA